GTTGGTGATCTTGAGTTGTACATTTCAGAGCTTTAACACAGATGATAAATAAAATAATTTCGTACTTGATCAAGTGTGAATTCACGAGTATTGGTATCTCGGAAAGTTTATCGAAATAACGCACAGATCTTCTATGATCTTCTATACATTTGAAACGCCTCATACAGGTTTTCTTGACCGTATTTGAAGTAAACTAAATTTTTGTGGAGACCTGGTGGTACCTATTAACGAATTGTATTTCTGAGTGACTTTGGAATATGCTCTATCTATGGGAGTGTACTCATAGCAATTCATTATAACGGTAAACCCAAAGTGCTACCACCAAAACTAATACGTACTTACTCTGACGGCACTAAACCGTAAATGAACTAATGGTTTGAGATAATGTTCTATCCGTGGTTTTAAACGATCAGTTTAGTTTAATTATATCTATTAATTTTGAAAAGCAGTCAATTCAAATCAGTAGCCTTTGCAAATATTTCTGTGGTATGAATGCACAAATCCATTCATAATTTATGCTACATTTTCATTCAAAATGCTAAAAATGAGTTTTTATTTTGCCAAGTTTCTCATCGAATCATGACTTGATGTTCATGAACATGGAACTTACTCATTCTAAATTATGGTGTATTCAACTTTAACTGCAGTAATAACCATATTTATTCAAATAGCCAAGCATTGCCGACTGTTTGTCCTATTCATGCAGAACGCATAAACTTTTCCCCAATGGAAGGCAAATCATCCTGAATCCTCGACCATTGTTATGAGGGTATTCATTTAAAGAGTAACAGATGCTAACAGAGGGAATTTCCCCGGGATGTAACAGAACTCATTTGTAATTCGAAGCATCCGGCAGGTAATCTTTAGTTGATAGTGAGTGACAATTTACGTAATATTTATGCCATAATAGTCATGTAGTTTGAGGCGGTTGTAAAAGTGAAACCTCTGTTAGGATTTCAGAAACCTGTTGCACGTCAGTCCCATATACGCAATTTATATATTGATATGCACGCAGGTTGTTAGCGGTTTATGTTTGCCAATGCGCCCGAATGTACACGTGTTGGGTAGAATGTCGTATGGTTTAAATAGGATGTATAGATAGACGAAGAATGAAAGGATAGTAGTGAGTCTCTCAGTGAAAGTGATAATTTGTTTTCTAGCAGGTTAGGCTAGAAAAAGGATGCTCTACTCCACCAGTTAAAGTGCACCAGCAAA